TTATTTATTTAATGAACTAGCATTGCCCGCGGCTCCGCCGGCGTTCAAATGACCAAAAACCATATTCTTAGGTTTTACATATTAGTATACTCTTACAATGCAGTTTTTGTATTGTTTCTCAGAAATGAGATATTTTTCCCTTAAAATCCCTCCAGTGGTTTTTCCGTGATGCGGTAACAGACAGACAGACAGACAGAAATTCTAAAAACTATAGATTCGGTCTCTGTATCGATAATAATGTCTACTTCAATAAGATTTTCTAAACAATATTTAATGTATAGATTCGGCTTAGTTACAATTTTATTATATGTATAGACAAATAAAATAATATTATTAAATAAAGTATTATTTATTCATTACATATCGGTAATTATGCTTTTCTTTCTTTTCCCAAAATGTTTTTTTTTCTTATTGTAGCAATTTATGGAGAAGTGTATTTTATCGGTAGCTCTTTATTAGATTGTTCTTCTAATAAAAACCATAACATTTAGCGTAGCCAAAAGTACGTTTTCATTTAAATATCATTCTCGCAATATTGAGCCTGCAATTATTACTTTCTGTTTTAGTAATTTATTTTCGACTTTGTATTCAAAATGGCTTCTTTCATAAATCATAACACCCCCTACCCTTAACGAAGGCATTGTTATGTTCAGAAATGCCCTATTTTATCACGTGTTTCCGGAAATTTCAGACCCCATAATTTATAGAAATAATGTAAAATGTCAGCTTCCTCTGACACTATCTCACTAGCGGTGACCAATTTCTAATGAAAAGAAAACCTAAAATTCCTTAAGCTGAAAAATAATTACCATAGACCTAATTTATCAACACACTCTTTTGGACAATGAAACATCGCGGTCGGTTGTATTATGTAATATTGTTTGAATTTGTGTGAAAATAATATTGAAAAGTTACTAAATATAAAGATCATATTTCATAAGTTTTATGTATTTAATTTATTTTTTATGCTTATAATACTAAATACTTGTCAGAAACACATCATATCTATTATCTATATCTATATAAATTGTGTGTAAATCTCGCTGATTAGCACTATGTTCTATCACATGTAAACAAAACGAGTATTAATTTTTAAAATTACACAAATAAAATTAAGTTTTATAGGAGACTATAGTAAGATTATTTACGAATAATATATTTTGCTTTTATAATAATTAAAATAATACATAAGTGAAAAGTCATTAACATATATTAGCCAAAGTAATTGAGATTCTTTACTATGTAGTGGTGAAGTTATTTTATAGTTAAAACAAAAGTATGTTAAAAATTATAATTCAAAAAAAAATGCCATAACATTAGCATATAATGAAGTTATCTATCGTATGTATATAATTATATGAGTAAGGTCATACTATACAAATTAAACTCTAGACACGTTTTATATATATATATATATATATATATATATGTGTGTGTGTGTGTGTGTGTGTGTGTGTGTGTGTGTTTTCCATAACTCCCTATACATGTTCCTCTTCGTATACGATTCTCCAGGTTCTCACTAAAAGGGACAATATTGTTGACAGCATCCTTAAATATATGTACAAAATTCCAAATATAAATTGTGAAATTAGAAGAAATTAAGTATCTTTAATCAAAAATAAAATTTTAAATATTATTTTTATTTTTTCTAAGCTTCATTATAATATTTCATTAAAGCATCCATCCTTATTACTACGAAGGCATAAGAAACATTCCAGTGCTATCATATAACGGTATCATAGGCGTTTTTATATAATAGTTTGTTCATATTGTGCCTAGTGGAAAAAGTTTATTACTTTTATGTAGATATAAGCTTATATATTATTATTACTCATGTACAATATTTTTCATCTTTATATATATAATTCTTCTGTGAGTGTGTATGTCACTGAACTTCTCTCAAACGACTGGACCGATTTTGATGAAATTTTTTGTGTGTGTTCAAGGGGATCTGGGAATGGTTTAGATTCACAATTGGAATAATAATTTTCATCAAAAAAATTATTAAAAAAAGTTTGAAATTTTCAAATTAAAGACGTGTAGACAGGACAACGTCTGTCGGGTCCGCTATATTTTATATTAATTTTTATAGTAGAGCACTATTATTAGGATGGACGTATGGCAAGTGTTTAGCACAAACTTGTTTGAGTTAGATGTTGACCACATTATTGATTATAATAGCTTAGATAAGATTATATTTTTTTTTTTTTTTTGGATTTCATATATTTATTTATAATTTTTATTGTTTTGCTTTACCTTTAACTCACATTTTAATATCAGAACTTGAGTACAGTTTGCGCATATTATTAGAAAGTGTGCTTTAATATATAAAAAATTTAGAAAATTAATATGAAATATGAAAAATATTGTAAAAGGAGTACGGTAATATATGAGATTTACATTAAATTAAAATATCTTATGGCACACATTAATTTATAATAAGTAATGGTCGTAAAACGGAATTGCATGTAATTTACTATTTACTGACTATTCACTTACTTAATATGCATGAATTAATTAGATGTGTTTAAGATTAACCAGTGGTAGCCCAGTGGTAACGCGCTCGCTTGGGAAACCGAGTGAAGCAGGTTCAAATCCCGGGTCTCGCACTTCTGATATTTTTATGTGCGAATCATTTCTAACATGATTACCATTTGCCTTACGGTGATGGAAAACATCGTGAGGAAACCTGCATGTCTGAGAGAACCTAGCAAGTTTTCGAAAGACATGTGAAGTCCGCCAACCCGCACTTGGCCAGCGTGGTGAACTATGGCCTGATCCCCCTCGTATTCAAGGGAGGCCCGTGCCCAGCAGTGGGACGTTAAAAATGGCTATTCAGCCATTTTTAACGTTATTGTATTTAATATATAATAAAAAAAATCCAAAAAACATATAATACAAGATTTATGCTTTAAGATTTGAATTGTAAACCTGTGATATCTGATAAGTACTAATAAAAACTTTTATAAGTAAATAAAATCACAAATTTAGGATATAGTGTAATATACATTTGAAAGCTAAAATGCTATTTTATGTTTGAAAATGTTATCATATCTCTGGCATAGAATTAAATAATGGCTCCACGTATATGTATAGGGTAATTTACGCTACAGACTTATAATTTACATATTTTATAATATCAGTGAGCACGATGGAATACCATACGTATGAAAGGTACATATGTAAAAAAGCTTTAACATGAATTTTCCTATTTTTAACTTCATAAATAACGTACTTCCATACATACTTATATCCTTAATTTAGGCCGTTTAGAATTAAAAAAAATCTTTCTATAATAGGTATGTATATTACTACAACAAGTTACTTTGTAAATGATGTTTGGTGTATATTCTATGCGTTGTCTTACAGTAAATCAGTTGAAGAAATAATATTTTTTATTAAATAGAATATATCCTACAGGAACTACTCAACACTCCACAGCTCCAACATACTTTTACGTTTATCATATTAAAAAAAAGCAGAGTTATTTAATTTTTAATGATCACCATGTGCGGTAATGTAATATCTTAATGATTATTTATTAGTATTCTAATAAAGTTTTTTTTTGTCTGTACGCAAATCATACTAAAACTGACTGTCTGGCAGCCTTTTGATGTCCAGAAATAATTTAGTATCGTGTCACCAAATACTCTAGATGATAAGGAAAACTGGCGTCTCAATATTACTTTTTAAACTAAAATGTAAATCGACTTTAATAACATATCACTTAAAAATTAAATTATTTGACCCTTGGAGTGGTTCTTATTTAATTTGAGACTTGAATTATTTGACTCGTTTAAAGTATCACCTATTCATAAAACACAGTTATGAAAATGAATTGTGAATTCGCGAAGATATTTCTTAACATAAGCACAAAAATAAAGTATGTACAATGGAATTGAATACAGGTCTTTTTAAAGTGAGCCAAAAAAAATATATGGACGCAACTAAGTTCATCTATCTATACATATAGTAAAATGCTAACTGAGTCTAATCTAAACATTAAATATTTATTGGAAAATCTTATTGAATTAGACATTATTATCGATTCAGAGGAGGAATCCATAGTTTTTTGATTTTTTGTCTGTCTGTCTGTCTGTCCGTCTGGGAACGCACCACGGGAAACCCACTGGACAGGTTTGATGAAATTTAATATGATGATAGCTGGTTCCGGGTCAACATATAGAATACTTATTGCTGCGGGAATATATCTCGTCTCTGAGAAATCGATACTAAACCTTAAAACGTAAATAGGGACGAACCCGAGTGGAGCGAAGGTGAGTCGCTAGTTAAATATAAGATAACACTAATATGCCAAAAAATTTTTGAACACCAAGTCGCAAGATAGTTTTAATTATTTTCCATATTGTGAGGAAGCTTACGTATTCAACTATTCATAGCTGCAATAAATTCTATTAGCTGTTAAAAGCTTTATTACAACATGCGTTTAAAATTTCGTCAATTATTTCAATTGATTTACCCAGACTAGTTGATTATTTTAATGTTTAATTTAACAAAAATATTAAGTTTTTTCGATTTGTTTATATATTATCTACACCTATATAAATAGTGTCGCGTCCACATTTCGCATTTATACATACAAATTAAAAGTTGCCTATGTTACTGTCTCGCCCCTAAACTATTATATACTATTAATAACCATTTTTACGTGAAAAATCGAAGTCGAGAAGTCGATCTGAAGTTCTGATATTATAATCTGATACTGTAAGAGAAGGACGGATAGAGTTAGAGGAATAGAGAGCACTTGTGTCTGTACACTTGTGCACTATAGGTAGTAGGTACAAACCTATTACCTAGTATGTGATTCTCGACTAGGCACAGTGAAACTGACTACCGTAATCGAAATCGATTTCGAAGAAATTATAAATTAATGATATTAAATGTAATAAATTACTTAATAATTTTTAAATGTAACCAAAATGGCATAACTATATGATGTAATCTTACATTGTATGTTACAGATGTAATCAATGTGAACCATGCGCAGCGACATGGCGTATCGGGGGCTCTCACAGCATGTGGAGCTTGACCGGGCGGCTGACCCCCGGGACAGATTTAACCTGCAGGAACTAATAGGAGAAGGAACATATGGCGAAGTCTATTGTGCTAAGGATAAGAAAACCGGCAAACGTGTCGCTATAAAGGTTACTAACTTATTAATTTATTTATACGTACATATTCATTTTTTACTTTTATTGTCTGTTCATAACTTAACAGTAATAAAAAAATATAATCTATAAATGGCACGCATGCTTAAAATTGTCAATGTACTCATTGTGTCAAAATTGTAACTTATAAAGTGGGTAAAAATGTATCGTTTTAGTATTAGGTACGTAATAAAATAACAACGAAACCACTTTGTTCCACGCAACTTACATGCTTACAAAATAAGAAAATATAGGCATTATGATATCAAGCAATGTTTATATAAAACATTTTGAAAAGATAAGATCATATTTTAATATATTCATGAAGGCTATACATATGTATGTATATGCGACGACACGTTTGGCTCAGTGTATAGTAACCCTACTTGCTATGCCAGCGGTTGCGGGTTCGAATCCCGCTGGGAGCATTCATTTGTGTGATGAGCACGAATGTTTGTACTCCAGTCATGGGTGTTTATATTTATAACATGTATGTATTTAAAGTATATATTAGTTATATATATATATATATATATATATATATATATATATATATATATATATATGTATATGTAGTGTATCAACTACCTGGTATCCATAACACAAGCTTCGTAGTTTACCATGGAACTAGATGGCGCTGTGTGTTAATGTGAAAAAAATTTATATACATTTCATGTCAGCCTAAATTAATGCCACCTCTATTAGTCTGTTTATGGAAGGTATTGTTAGCGTATAGTTTGTAATAGGCTGTATAGATTTTATTTCAAAAGCCAGTATTGGTGTCAAGGCCACACAATGTACTACGATGAATGCCACCTTTTATGTCGGTGGTCATAGCTGTTAAAATGTTTGGAGTGTGAATAAACATCATAGTCATGTTGAATGATTGAGCTAAGATTCACTAATTATAATTCATAATGACTGTTATTAAACTCGTGATTTCGTAACTTAAACTTAATAAACAATCTGACGTTTTGCATAAAATTAAGTATTTAATGTATATAAATAGAAAAAAACAAACAAACATTATTCAATATATAAAATACTAGCGACTCACCCTCGCTTCGCTCGGGTTCGTCCCTAGGTTGATTCCCCAAACAAACTGTCATCCCCTTAAGGGATGATTTCCAGGATAAAAAGTATCCTATGTTCTTCCCGGGGTCTCGAACTATCTTCTTACCAAATATCATCTAAATCGGTTCAGTAGATCTAGAGATTACCCCCTACAACGTCACAAACTCACAATTCACAAACTTTACCTCGTTATAATATTAGTATAGATTAAAATTTTTGTTTTAACATTATTTATTAAAAAATATATTTATAATAATACTCTACTTGTAGAAAAATAAATATTTTGAATAATAAAGAATTTTCTAAACATACATTTCAGATTTTAGAAAATATTGCAGAAAATATAGAAGAAATTGAAGAAGAATTCCTTGTGTTCCGAGATTTATCGAGCCATCCTAACATACCTGAATTTTTCGGACTCTTTTTAAAACGAGGAGTATCTGCTGAAGATGACCAAATATGGTTTGTCATGGAGGTATATATATCTTTCGATATTCACTATAAGTTTATATTTATTGTCGTATTTAATAAATAATTTTGCAGCTATGTACGGGAGGATCAGTGACAGATTTGGGTGCAAGTATGCGAGCTAGAGGAAATAATTTGACAGAACCGCAACTGGCTTACGTACTACGAGGAACTGTTCGGGCTTTGACTCACCTTCACTCTCATCGATGTATGCATCGTGATGTTAAAGGTCATAATATTCTGTTAACTGAAAATGCTGAAGTAAAACTTGTTGATTTTGGAGTATCTTCTCATCTGGCCGCTACTATTGCTAGACGGAATACATCAGTCGGTACTCCATACTGGATGGCTCCAGAGGTAAATATTTAATTATCAATTCTAATTAAAGTGAAAATGAATAAAAAATGGGGTCTAGTTGTTTGCAAAATACTCAACATTTTTACCGATTGTTAAAGGAAGAAATATTTTATTCCTTCAAGTGTGACATTTTTTTTTTTTTAAATTAATAATTTTATTTTATATATAATAAAACGAATTATATATATAATAAAACAAAAAAAAATATTTTATGATTAGCGGCCGGTTTCAAGGCAGCGTTACAGCACTGCGGTAGCTGCACGGTAGCCTATTTTCAATATTAAATAAAAAGTATTAATAATAATAGAGGGCAAGTTCCGGGAGTCAACATTTTTTTTTCGTTAATTTCCTCTTTAAGAATCTGTTTTTAAAATTTCTTTAGCACCAATAGTTTTTGATCAATTTACAAAAATTTTATTGTTTATAAATTTTGCAATAGTTTATGTGCGGGTTTGAAATTTTAGCACATTTTTCTAGACATCATATCGAATCCAATGAGGTATCGCACGTATTTTAATTCACAGTAGCAAGAATTAACACGTTTTTCAACTTGTTGACTAGACTAAATGTCAATTTTTATATTATTTTAAATAAAATGTTGATATGAAACTCATTGAATTATATTTCATTCGATTATATTATTACTTAACATAATATTTATAAGTAGAACAATTCTAATATTATACTAGCGACGGTACGTTTTATATAAATTTTAATATGCTTGTTAAGTATTATTAAATAACTATTCTTAAATTTTATAATTTACCGCGCAATTTTTAAATTTTTTTCTTTCATAAGAACCTTCTCCGGACAATAACAAACACAACAAAAAATATAGTTAAATCGGTCCAGCCGTTCACGCGTGATAGCACGCTACCAACAACCAAGGGAAATAGGGATTCATTTATATATATATATATATATATATATATATATATATATATATATATATATATATATATATATATATATATATATATATATATATATATATACATATATAGATTTTAATTGTTTATATTTTATTTAAGGTTATTGCTTGTGAGCAACAACTGGATCAGTCATACGATTGCAGATGTGATGTGTGGTCAGTTGGAATCACAGCAATAGAATTGGCGGAAGGTGAACCACCTTTGTCTGGACTGCATCCAATGCGAGCTTTATTCCAAATACCTAGAAATCCACCACCATCACTATCGCATCCTGAGATTTTTTCGCCGCAATTAGGAGATTTTATTTCAGAATGCTTAGTAAAAGATATGAACCAAAGACCATTTGCAAGAGAGCTTCTAGAACACCCTTTATTATTAGCTGTAAATAATTTTGAAGACAAAGTAAGTTCATAATTGTTAATATATTATGTTATGAACATATTATTACGTAAGCCATATGCATAGAAACTAAAAAAAATACTTATTACTTCCTTTATTTATTTAAGATACGAAAAGAGCTTCGCGCTGAAATAAAAAGGCAGAGAGCTGAAGGTCGTAGTTGTCGTGCACCAGAGGCTACTACTAAAAGAGGAAAATTAAAATCTCACCGAAAAGCAAAACCCGAAAAAATGTATACGGACGATTTAGCAACTCTTGAAACTTTAACAGAAGACGCAATCGTTGAGCAGTTACAAAAGAGATATAATCAAAATCAAATCTACACTTATATAGGAGATATTTTAGTGGCAGTTAATCCTTTTACTGATATAGGAATTTACACAACAAGGGTACGTATAACATGGGTTGTCAAAAGTAAACTATTGGACGAAAGACTTTCTATCTTGTTTAAAATCGTAATAATATTCGGTCCGCACCATACCCGCTTCTCAATCTACACGATTGCCTTGTTTAGACGCCTTTGTTAGTTGACTGGTATGGATTAGTTGGCAGTGTGCTAGATTTATCAGATCATGAAACCGTAATGAGTCACATCTGAACCTATATACTAGTTTATCACGGATTTTACCTAAAAAAATCTGTTAGTTACATTTAGTACAAAAAAAACTTTCTCCTTTACAGACTCAACAATCATATCAAGGTCGCTGTCGGTCTGATAATCCTCCTCATATCTATGCAGTAGCTGACGCTGCTCACCAAGCGTTAATGCACCAAAAACAAAATCAAGCTATCGTTATATCAGGTGAAAGTGGAGCCGGAAAAACAGAATCTGCCAATCTTCTTTTGAAACAACTTGTATATTTATCCAAAGTATGTTTTATCATGCTATTTAAATTCCCTAGTTAATGAGTTTCAGCATCTTAAATATTATTCAATAAATTATTTTCAGACTCAACATGGAAACTTAGAAGATAAAATCCTACAAGTTAATCCTATTATGGAAGCATTTGGGAATGCACGAACTGGAATAAATGCGAACAGTTCTCGATTTGGAAAATATTTGGATTTGTCAATAATGAGAGTGGGTAGAATTTCAGGTGCTCGAATATCTGTTTATCTTTTAGAACAATCCAGAGTTGTTCATCAAGCATTGTAAGTATCAAGATGCAATACAATAAAAAGAGCAAAAATTTACTAATTTAATATAAAAAATATGCTACTGTTTGTAATATTTATATGTATTTCTTTTTTGTTTTAGAGGAGAAAGTAATTTCCACGTCTTTTATTATCTTTATGACGGACTTGAGAGTGAAGGTCGTTGGAGAAAATATTACCTAGATGAACAGTTAAAATCCAGGCACCGGTATTTACAACCATTATCAATAGCTCATCGAGAACATAATGTGCATCGATGGAGACAGCTTAATCAAGCATTTAAAGTAAAACATATATATACAATAATAAAATATAAACATTTCGCATTTCAAATATTTGAAAACAAACTAAAATTTATGTTGTATGTGAACTCCAGGTTGTGGGTTTTCAAGAAGAAGAGGTACAGATTATATACAGAATGTTAACTGCCATTTTACACCTTGGTGATATAGAATTTGCGGAAACTGCTGGTGATCACAATACTGATAATAGGGCTACAATAATAGATACAGCGCCTTTACATCGAGGTAACTGATATTTCTTATATTATTTTAAGAATAGGACAAAATTTAAAAATACCATAGGGTAAGTAACAAGATGTTACTACTATTGCTATATATGATATTTTTATGTAGTCCTAAATTCTCATTAAGCTTGAAAAATAATAAAATAAAAATTAACTTGCATTTCCAGCTTCCTGTTTATTGGGTGTAGAAACAAGTGATCTTCGAGAATGCTTAACAAGTAGCAGTGTAGTCACTAAAGGTGAAACAATTGCAAGATACAGTTCTCCAACAGAAGCTGCTGTAGCCAGAGATGCAACCGCAAGAGGAATATATGCAAGAGCATTTGATAGAATTGTTGAACGAATCAACGCATTGCTCTGTCAAAATAAACCTCATAGGTTAGTATTAAATGGTGTCATTTAGATTAAGTAAAATAAAGAAAATGATTGATGTAGTAAAAATTGTATGTTTTATACATTTACGAGCATATCTTTTAGGATATATCATAAATAATAATTGTCTTCCTTATAGTGACCAGCTATCCATTGGAATATTAGATATCTTTGGTTTTGAAAACTTTGCAAGAAACTCATTTGAACAACTTTGCATAAATATTGCAAACGAACAGATCCAGTATTACTTTAACCAACATATATTTACGTGGGAACAACAGGAATATATGGCTGAGGGGATACCTGTTGATCTTGTAGAGTTTTCTGATAACAGACCTGTACTGGATATGCTATTATCAAGGCCAATGGGTTTATTAGCATTACTTGATGAAGAAAGTCGATTTCCACGTTCTTCAGATAGGAGTCTTATTGGTAAGCCTTTAACTGTGTGTTTATATTTAACACATATATATGAACATAAAATAAAATCTACTTTTAGCATAATCTCAATTAGATGGAAATGATTAATGTGTTTAACTTTTTTTAGAGAAATTTCATAGAAATATCAAGAGTAAATATTATGTTCGACCCAAGTCAGATGCAGTGTGTTTTGCTATTCACCACTTTGCTGGTCGAGTTGTTTATCAAGCGGATGGCTTTTTGGAAAAAAATCGCAATTTTTTACCTCCTGAAGTTATTCAGTTAATGAGACAAAGTCAACATGACATAATAAGATTTTTATTCCAATGTCCAATTACAAAAACCGGCAACTTGTTCTCTGCTTTACATGGAGAAATGGAACTTAGAAGTTTGGAAAGTCCAATATCAGGCGATTTTCGAGTATGGCACATTTTTACTCATTTTCTTTCATAATTCTATCTTACTTTATCTTTACATAAAACCTGGATTTTTTTCTAGGATCGATTCAATAGCAGGGGTCTTGCATCACAATCACGAGCTCAACAAACTGTTTCAACATATTTCCGTTATTCTTTAATGGAGTTACTTCAAAAGATGGTTAGCGGTACGCCGCAGTTTGTAAGGTGTCTAAAACCAAATGATTCTCGCTCACCGAAAAATTTTGATTCAGCAAAAATTTTGAAACAGTTACGATACACTGGGGTCCTAGAAACTATCAGAATAAGGCAAAATGGATTTTCGCATCGACTCGCATTTGATGAATTTATAAAAAGGTACCCATTACTAATAAAAAAATAAGTTTTTGATATTTCATCTAAATTATTTAAAGCTACTGCATTTCTATTTATATTTTAGATATAGTTTCTTAGCATTCGCTTACGACGAAAAAATAAAGCCTAATCGTGACTCCTGTCGTCTTCTGTTACTGCGATTGAAAATGGACGGATGGGCACTTGGCAAATCAAAAGTATTTCTCAAATATTATCACGTAGAGGTACTTTCACGAATTTATGAAGAACAGGTAACTAACTATATTTACATACTGATATATAATTTATTAATTAAAATCAGTACCTAATAAATCTTATATTAACCGAAGCTGTATCTAATATATATCTTATAACGTTGTAAACGTTCAGGAAATAAATGAAAGAGACAGAAAGAGAGGGTGAAACCTAGAGTTCACAAGGTTCTATATTTTCCGTTTCCTGAATCTTTGGACTCATATCAGCCACGGAAAAGTTTTTGAGAAATACTACCACTATATTTACGGTTAAACTTTTATATTTTTATCCTGCGCATATGTAATTGATTCATAATCAATGAAAACATCGTTATTGATAATGAGAGAGTGATATTTGACTACTCTATTAAAAAAAGTTATAGTGGTTTGTAGATTTTTTATCAAAAAACTGCCGTACTTATAATATTTTTATTGCATCTTTATTTCAGATAAGAAAAATCGTTTTAGTTCAAGCACGCGTGCGAGGTTGGCTTGCTCGAAAATACTACTTGAGGTTAAAAGCGCAAATGGCTATCTCCGTTTTAACATTGCAACGACATGTTCGAGGCTGGTTAACAAGAAAACGACTTCAGGAACGTCAAAAACAATTAGCTAGAGAATTCCAAAAAGGTCAAATGGAAAAGGAAAACCAAAGGAAACAACAAAGAGCAGGTACGATTTATATCAACTTATTTATTATATTAAAATATACATATTCGTATATTTCGTATCATATTTTATAACCACCTTAGCATACATAATAAAATATTTACATATTTACAATACATATTTATATTATTATGGAAGATATAGAGGGAAAGCGAAGAAACAAGAAATTCGTAATATAGCGTTGACCTAAATTTGTTTGGAGGAAATCTTTTTTGAGTATTGTAGAGATATTAAAATTCATTATAAAATACTTAATGGAAAGACGATTCACATAAAAATAACATTGGACAATGTTTAAATTATAGGTGTTCCGATAAAAGGCAATATTATGGCTAAGGTACTAAGACGTGGAAGTGCAGAAGATAGCGACAGCAATGATACTAATTTAAGCAATAAAGAGAATGTTAATTCTGCAGCTGCTATAATTCAAAGTCGTAAGTCTTTTATGTTGTATTAATATTATATATAAGTGTATTCCATATTGTAAATAAGTTTTTTGGTTTATTTTTAATAAATATTACCCAGATTTGATCGCAGACAGCACTAGCATGTTTTATAAATATTACGTAATCTTCTATACATATAATAAAATTCTAACTTAGCCGAATCTGTACATTAAATATTTTTTGGAAAATCTTATTGAAATATTCATTATTGTCGATACAGATGCCGAATCTATAGTTTTGTGAAGAGAAGTTTGTGAACCTACAATATTTTCAGATATGAATATCTAATAACTAAATATGTATTTTACGTATCAAAATATATTAGATTTCCTATGCGTCGGCTGGCACCGACTTCGAAAATATCTTAATAGGTATCTATTCTAAATGAAAACCCCCGTTTAGTTATTTTTTACGTTTTAGTGCCTGGAAGTCGGTTTTTTTTTAAGTTTTTATAAAGATATAGCTATACAAAATTTAACTACGCGGCCGGGGCCGCAGGTTAACTCTGGTACATAAATAAAGACAAATATGATGCAAGCACTATTACAGATTACCGTGGTTACACAGCGAGGCGGAAGATGGCGAAAGGTCGCGCGCCGCCGCCGCCGCAACACTCACCGCCCGCGCCGCCCACTCACCAGCAGAACATGCAACACTACTCCGTGCAAGAGCGTGCAGCGCAACTACAAAACTTTGCTGATCAGGTATTGTAGTAATATATGCATATAGACAATGTTTTGGTCTAAGGCAAATTTGGAAATCTTGGATTCACGTCTCTGTTCAGGCCAAGCATAGTTACTGGGTTTTTCTGTCAAAAAATTCTTAGTAATAACCCGAGTTGAGATGTTGTTGCTGCTTTACTCCCGTGCCTTGGAGAGCACGTAAAGTCTCATGTCTCGTGGTCATGTCGGTATTGCGCTTATTGTCTCACCATTTGTGAGATCACCACCTGTTGTGTCAAATTATCGTCCTACCAGATTCTGAGAATGAAAGGAATATAGAGTGCACTTGTATTTACGCACACGCTTGTGCACTATGTTATGTTGCGCACCTGTATAATGAGATTTGCAACCATGACCGAAATGGATCAGGAGGATCTCTCAGCATAGATTACATTAACTGTTGTAAATATAAATATACAAATTGACGATTCAAAACTGCTTGTATTTGAATAAACTATGTTTAAGTACCTAATTAATCACTTAAGGCGATTAGTGTCCCCAACGGCCTTGAGTGTTTTTGCGGGTCTTAGCGCGATGCACCCGCGCACCCCGCAAGAAAGCATCGAACAATCCACGCACTATTATACCAGAACACCGATCAAAGATTTTTATTAATTTTTATTATTTAAATGTTGCCAAAATTCTTAGCCGTTTAGAAACAAAAGGAAAGGCAAGTCAAAAAAATACAATTTCTTTGAAAAAAAAGTAATAGATATTGTAATCCCACGAAAAAAATAATTAATGAAAATGTTGTTTAAGAGTTGATGATTCATATATATTTTTTTCAAGCATTTCGGTCAAGCCATAAACGAGAAGTACGATTTAGAAAATACCTCTTTGAGGGTACTAATCGCCTTAAAAAAATACATTTAGAAAACCACGATTATTTGTGAAGGGACCCAATAACTGGATGTTCATATCTAATTAATTATTTATTTAATCAACTATGAGTAATTTAGTATTGAATTCATTTTATAAATATTTGTTCACGTATTTACATGACAACGTACGTATGTCGATACAAGTAGTGATATAAAATATATATATATATATATATATATACATATATATATATATATTTATATTTATAATAAAACATTTACTCATCAGATTTTATGTGTAATTTTTTTTTATTTACAATCAATCATCCTAAATAACTAACATAAATTAATGTTATCTTATTAGATTCACGTTAAGAACCAAGAGGTACACAAGAACCTACGTCGGAATAAACCAGGAATTCGGTTGAAGGATGTGAAGAAACCTCCTGAGGAATACCAACCTCCGCCTGGGTTCAGTCTAGTACCCTCCATCATAAGGGGCGAACCATTTCAAGCAGAACAAGACGCTAGCAGGCTTTCAAGGTACATAAGAAATGTTTGCTTATTTTTTTTACTAATAGAATTTAAACAATAAAGTATATATCCACTTTAATACTATTAATTTTTCGATATTACGGCATATTAGGAAACGTCATGTATCTAAACCACGATACTACTGTACCACGAGTATTGAAAATAGATTTGTAGAAATTATTTATTATTGATATTTAATATTTTATGTTTGACTTATGCTTACCTCTGGATACGGCCAGTCCATCGCCAGAGTTTTATGAAAGCGATACCATGCCATGGGATCAAATATTTCAGATAAAGGATATATGCATGAGAAATAATATGAGGTTTGTATAAATATATCAAATTACTCAGAGGTGTTTAGTTATATATATAAAAAATGGATTTTTCAATACATATTAACATATACAAATAATGTCTATAGTATATACGTAGGTATATGTTATATTTGTATCTAAACTCTAATGTACATATGTATATGACATAGAAAATATGTGCTTTTGCAAATTAGTCCTTTTCTTCAATTTGAATATAAATAATTCAAATACTTATAATATAATATTTTCGCAATGATTATATTTTATTCGCAATGATATATTTACAAAAACAATTTATAATTTTTCAGAGATCAAGATAACAACAGCGATGACAAGCCTCTACAAAACAACCGTAACCGTCAAAATCTACCGTGCAGTAGACAATGTAGTGGTCTAGTCAGGTATGATTTAGAAAATAACATTTTGACTTATTGGCCATAAGAATAATTAATATTTATAATACTGTCGCATGCAAAACGAAGTGGACTACTAAAGAAGGGGTATGGTGATATTTTTATTTCCCCTTTCTTTCCTATTACGTACATTGTTGGAAGTAATTATAATTTTTTTTTCTATATAATAATATATGTTCTATATATTTAAATCTTACTATTATCGTAGAGTTAACTTAAGTATTCATTAGACCTTACTTCTTTCTCATTGTGTAGCTTTAAATATTCTAAATAAACATTTTTATTTTAAATAACTCCTGTAGGTGCATTAGTAAGTGTATGTTACCCATGATATAGCTATAAATACTCATAATAAATTATTTTCATAACATTTACTCTGCAATACAATTACTCGTACATTTTAACATTCACCACACCTAATAAAAACACTAATGCCTGATTTCACCAACAACCCATAAGCTACCACCTACGTATGGGATCCCTAGCTTAAAAGCCCCCTAAACTAGCCCCTAAATTAAATTTCGTTTTACAATCGTCTTTAAGCCCATATTTCGAGCACCTAAATTTAGGGGGCCTTTTAATATTAAGGTGACCCCTAACTGTCGGTGAAACAGAAACTGTCCCCTAACAGCCCCCTAAACATGCTTAGGGGATCCCTTAAACTTAGGTGACGTTGGTGAAATCGGGCATAAATAAGCATTCCTTTCATTTATTTTAATAATTAATTGATATTTTTAATTGCAGTAATAAAATAATAGAGTTAGTAAGACAAACACAAAAAACTGAAATTCCACCGCGGCCCGTCTACAGTCCAGCCTACGACCCTGAGTCAGATCTTCGAAAAATTCTTCGCAATTCACCAGAGATCCTTGCAACACCGGTCTTTAGCTCCGACGATGATTATACGGATGGCCCCTTTAGGTTTAAACAATTATTGCGGCCAACCTTAGGTCCTACTGAGAGTCTTCGTAAACGAAAAGTGCGCAACTCATCTGGTCGTAGCCCTTGGATGTCAGACAGCTCACAAGATAGCAACAGTTCTAAAGAGGCTCTCTATAACAAACGGCGGCCGCAAATCAGTATGGGCGTTTATTATAATTAGTCCTACCAATATAAGACATAACAGACGATTCGAAGAGATTATATGTATAAGTTTAAACTTTAGTCAATTTTAAATCATTTATGTATGTAATAAAACCTAATTCGTATGGAATAGTTTCGTAATGATTTTGCTGCGTGTGATATGTTTAACTAATAAATTTTATTGTAAGTTTTATTTAGTAAAACTAATCGTGAGTATAAAGACCAGGCATAACCTGTATATATTTAAGTCAAACCACTATTAATAAAAAAAGTAAATTGTTTATGTATAAGTTTATTACCACCTAACTTACTTAGACTATACACAAATGCATCATGCATGTATTTTGTTGTTAGTTTATAACAGTAACAAGTACCAAAGGTCTATATTTTATTATATTTTTTATATATATATTAATTATTATAGTATTGAAAAAGTAAAAAAAATTATAAACCTATATAAATATTTTTGTTGTCGTCTTGGATATTATATTAAAATTTCTGAAACTATCACAATATTTAGATCTCTTAGGTTATTTTACATCTATTTACTATGTTTACTTATAGATAAATAAAAATTGAGTCATACTAAATATTTATATTTTATCTTCTTAAAAATATCTCTTATTAATATTATTTAATTTTAAAAAATGTTTATCAATGACACTTAATTTTGAAAAAAATTGTTGTTTTTATAGTAAAGAATATTAGTATAAATCATTGACAAATTGTGTGATAATGTGCCAATGATTACCTTGTAAGAAATATGTTCATTTACCAAGAAATAAAGAAACTTGATTAAATATTCAAACGTGTATTTTTATTTATACCACTCATATAATATATCTTTATATAGTCCAGTTAATAAAAGTTAATTGACGCTTCAATAAAACAAAAGTAAAAAATAACTGTAAAACTGAAATAGGTTAAAAGTTTCATGTCTATAACCTTTGTTTATAATTGGCGTCTCAAATCAAAACAAAATAAAACACGTAAAGCAGTAGTTTTTATATTCCCACAAGAGTACGCGTAAACACGCAATCTCACGTTTACGGCGGGCGGGCTGCGGGCGGCGGCGGCGCCACGTGACGAGGGCGGCCAATGACGGATGCGCGCCCGCGCAGTCGCGCCCGCGCCAGCCATGGCGGCCGCCGGCCTGCCCGATGTCGACATTAATCTTCCTCAGATTAAAACGCGCTCCATCGAGAAAACGCTACTCCCACTCATCAAGCAGGTATGCCACCCATGAATTTCTAGGTTCCACGAAGAACATTTCGGTGAACTCTGTGAGATCTACAGTCCATGACGTTCTATCAAAATACAGCTGTACTAGAGTAACCCACTGACGTAACTTGGCTTTGCTGACGATATTCTCGGTTTTTACGCAATATCTTTAGTCGTAACTCTATTTTCGGCTTAAACATACAATCGTCAGTTCGCAACGTTGCCGACTGTGTTTTACGTCAGATGATGTCAGATTTTCCCGCCTAGACGACATCTGTTGCACACAATTCTGCGCCGCCGCAGTAGAAACTAGATAGAAAAGCGCCAATTTTAAACAAATAGCTTGATCCATTACGTATGGAAACCCTATGTTTATGTGTTTTCTCGTATATGACTAACGTACCGTATCATACCTGGGCGACGACAATGACAAAATTACGTTAAATAGTAGAATTAGGTGTAGTTAATGTAAAACGAAGGGCGGACGAGCACGTGGTCTGCTAGAGGGCGGGTGCGTGCGGGGCGGCGGGCTGAGCGGATCGATGGTCCCAGGCCGTCAGTGCCGCGGCAGACTCGGGCGGAGCGGCGCGGTGCCGCTGAGACAAGCCAGCGCCACGGAGCACGTGCGCGCGCCCGCGTCCGCGCGCCGCCGGGGGCGCGCTCTGTGTCCTCGCACCCGCCACCGACATGGACGCTCTATCCGATGACGACGACTATGTGTGCCGCGAGCCCCAGGTACGTGATACGTGTCGAGTCGGCCACCTCGCGCGCTTTTCCTGTTTAATGTCCAAAGAATATTGAGCACGACCATATCAGAAGTCATAAATTGCAAAGCAACAAGTAGCCGAAATATAAGCTTGCATGCTAGAACGACCTTGAACGAAGCTCTCGCCAGTCTTTACGATACCTCATCGCTACGACTGGAGCCGTCTCATCCAACTTAGGTTTCTTAGCTATATTTTTTCGAAACTAGTTTCTTAATAATTATTATTCAGACACCTTATCAATATGTTGTCAATAAGCAATTTTACTATACCTAGATAGGTATGAAATAAGCTCTGACGAACAGCAGGCTATTGAATTAATCATTATCGTCCCCATAATGTCCTTTAAAATAGATAAACGAAAATATCTATATTTTTAACGAATGTACTTAGGTGGTGCTACTCGTATCTACGTATATTATATACGTTACATTTATTTACATAAATAAAAATTAATCACCGAACTGTATGTATGCTCAACTTCCGATCTACTGCACCTTAGATAATCCTTTTTTTTTGTGTTTGTTAATATCAGGACAAGCTTTGTATAGAAGAAAATTAAAAGTTTTTTTTTATTAAAATACTTTTTTTAAATTTTATGATATAAAAAGTGAGTGAGTGAAATAGTTTTTATCCCAGAAATCATCCCATAAATCATCCCATTAAGGGAGTGAGAATGGGGATGAAAGGGGACGTACCCGAGCGAAGCGATGGTGAGTCGCTATTAGGTACCTATATAACAAATAGAATTAAAATATATGAAATACTATAAAACCCTAATAAATCACTTATTGCAATATACTGAGGGAATATGGGAAGAAATCGAATTCCCTTTAGGTACCTACTAAGAAATGTTGGAAAGCCATTGGATATTTTTTTTGTTCGATACATCTAACATATAATAAAATTGTAACTGATTCGAATCTGTACATGAAATATATTTTGGAAAATCTTATTGAAATACCTAGTCATTATTATCGATACAGAGGCCGAATCTATACTTTTTAGAATTTTTGTTTATCTGTCTGGGAACGTATCAGGGAAAAACTACTGGACCGATTTAGATAAAATTTGGTATGATGATAGCTGGTTATCGGGGTCAACATATTGGTTGCTTGTTACTGCGGGAAAATGTCTCATCTCTGAGAAATCTGTACTAAAGGTTAAAACGTAACCAGGAACGAATCCTACCGGAGCGAGGGTGAGTCGCTAGTTACCAGAATAAATGGGAAAAAATACTCTTAGTATATGACTCGCTCTTGAAACGTCGTTCACGTTGATTATTCTAATTTTCATCGATATCTCAAATATGCCTCAAAAAGTAAACAATATTGCGTGGATTTAGCTTTGCTGTTCATCGGCAAATGTATATTATGAGTGCTACATTTATTGAAACCATAACAAACAACTTTAAATATAAGCTGAAACTGATAACATAAATTTTATTAAGAATTTAGACTCGAAGAACAATAAGTTCTTAAATTATTTTATCTAGGTATATTAATATTGAAAAATATAATAAATAGTACCTATATCTACCACTTTACCTTATAAATATATTTGAAATTAAAATGCAAATGTAAAATGACATATTTCCGAATGAGTCTCAATGAAAGAATAATGAAATCCATTCTCTTTGTCTCGTGTGCTGACTGTAGCTTTTCGTCAATGTACCTAATAGTCTGGTTGGTTATTAAAATAAAAGAACTTCGAATCGTCAATTACTATTGTGAACAAAACTAATAAATTATATTAAAACCTTAGCAAAATTTAACTTATTTAGCTCAATGAGGTCATGATAATATTTGTATAACAAATTACACAATACACTCCACTGCTGTCAGTAGGTATATTATAATTGTATAACTTAAACTATAATTTATAGATAATAATTATTATTTTTATGGATAGTAATAAAAAAAAGAAATAAACATGATCATATCCTATCATAATATGATCTTTGTTAAAATTTAATGTTCGATCGAATGTTTAAACTACTTAAAACACTCATATAACTCATATAACATATATATGTATAAACAATCAAGACAAGTAATATATGTATATGTATGTATACCATACAATAATAAAATGTATGCAATTGTGGAAAACGTGAGAATATTTATAATAAATAGAACAAGTTTATAATAAAAAGCAAATTCATTCCAATATTTTACAAAAGTTCCACTAATACGTCAGCTTCTGTACTTTCTATACAATATTGCTTATAAACCTTATTTTCTGTAGAAAAATGATGCTCATATTGTTAGATTTAAAAAAATTACGCTTCGTATTGAAAATAGATTGATTCAAAATTAGGATTTCAATATTATCTTCATTTTCCGATAATATCTGAAACTAAAAGTACCTACATATTTTTTATTAGACGTAACGCCCACGATCTCACCCTTGGTAAGTTTAATACTTTGCCCTACATTTTGAAAATTGAATTGATACAAATACTTTTGAATATAAATGAGATACAAAGATGATATTATATTTTACTACGCAACGTTTCCTTTCAACATTTTATATTATATGGAAATAAGAATAATGAAATTGTTTGATATGACCCCATGTATATACTATAATTAAACATTTTATTATAAAAAAATAAAATAATTATAAAAAATAAACAATACTTATATATTAAATATTGTTCAATTTTAAAATAACCAGAAAAACAAAACATAACCCAAATGCAACTATCGACAGAAAAAAGCTTATAAATCTGTCGGTACTTTTACTCACATGGCTATTTTTTGCATAACTGGGTCCAATTAATAATTTTAATTAATGCTTACATAATAACAGAACTATAGCGTTAACAGCTTCTATTTTTATCCTGAAGGTTACTTTGGTTTTTGGAGATTTGTATAATCCGTCTTCTGAATGCAAGCCGTAGTTGTGCCACATTTCGATGACATTATTTCAGCCGCGGTATAGTATAACCGTGATAAAACGAATTACAACAAGCATACTTTTGTAATATATCTTATATTAAAAAATCTAGCAAATTGTAACCAACATTTTTAGATACCTATTTTTTATTGCATTCAATACCAGAATTTCTTTTAGTGTCATTGTAATACAACTCTAATATAGGAATTGAGTTCCACCAGATCGGGGCCAACTCCTCGTCATAATTCGCACCCTATGTGATATTTTTTACTGAACTTCATGAGTCTACTACCAGCTCGGAAAGAGGATGGCCTGAGAAGAACTGGCGAAAGAAACTCAGCAGGACTAATATTATTTCATTATCTTTTTTATAAAGTTAAATTATAATTTACAATATTTCTATCACGTTGAAGTAGCCTGGCTTGGCCCGACCCGGGACTCGAACCCAAGACCTCCGAGTGTGCAGCCGTACATGCTAGCCACTACACCACCGAGGCAGTTAAATGTTTTTTTTGTTTTTTTTTTAAAGAATTACTGACTCTGTGTAGACGAGTCACAGGCATTACAAGTTTGTGTTTGCTCCTAGTATTAATGTTATGCATGTCACACTTCTTGGGAAATTTGTGTATAATTAACTTATGACTTACAATTAGTAAATATAGTATAACCATACTATAAAGGTAACCCTTTTACGATTAAGCAGATAATGCAAGGTGACACTTCGTACATAACATTTTCCGCCAAATCTTGTATAAAAAACTTGTATAGGTATCCAATTAAGTATATACCCATCATATACGACTTCTAAAACGATTACTTTCTGAACATCTAAATTTGTAATACTATTTTTTTCTAATGTGAATGATTTCGATGACATAAGATGTTAAAATATGTTCTTTTCTTCTTTGAATAGTTTCTTTGTTGGTTGCTTAATTAATATTACGCATTATTCGGTAGATTAGCAGTCTCGTGGCTACAAGAGGTGAGGCGGCGGCGGGCGGCGCGGCGGTGCAGCGTGTAGGCGCCGCCGTCTGTTGCGCCGTCGAACGTTTCGTGGCCGTGGGCGAGACCATCGCAGACGACAACCCTGACGTACGCCATAGCATGGTGCTCGCGTGCAAAGAAGCTCGGGCTGCAGGTAATGTACACTTGCGTGTTGCTCATTGTTGAACACGTCATGTACGTACATGTATAAAAGTTTGTAAGTCGGGATATAGGGGATAATTTTCGAAACCACTAATTTAATTCTAAAAATTCATTTGCTAACAGGAGCCTCCATTACCACTTAGGCTATATTTTATTTAGACAAAAATGTATCTAATATCAGAAACCATAAAAACTTTAATTGAATTCGGTTTGAAATAAAGAAGTAATGCGAAAATGAAAAAGGCAAAAGTCTAGGGAAACACCAGAACGTAGTCGTGGTAAATCGATAGTATCTATACATATAACAAAACAGTAACATAGCGAAATCTGTATATAAAATATTTCTTAAAACCAATGACTGTAATGTATTCTGCACAAAATATAGACCCCAAAAGCAGAGTTATTAATTTTTTATCTGTTTGTCTGTATGTCTGTTTGTGTGTACGCGTTACTTGCGAAACAGAAAACGCAAAAAGTAAGAACTAGTTCGAGTCATCCTTAGAAATTGACATAGCTAACGCTCTCTAAACATGTTAGGTTTAACAGACCGCAATACCAAGCATATGTCTATCTTTTAAGGTGCACTGGCAATAACTATTCATATTTAAAACGTACCTAGGGACACACTCGAGCGAAACGAAGGAAAGTCGCTAGTATCGAATAAATCCATGCAATTATGTTTACTTAGGTTTTGTTTTGGAATAGCTACAGTGCTTGTTATGCAAATAGTAGAGATTTCCTCCATTCGTGCCATTATTGTACAATTCTGTGTTATAAACACAAAAATAACTCTAATCTATACTATAATATTATAAAGTGGTAAAGTTTGTGAGTTCGTGAAGTTATAGGGGGTAATCTCTGGATCTACAGAACCGATTTAGAAGAAATTTGGTAAGTAGATAGTTTAAGACCCTTGAAAGGACATAGGATACTTTTTATCCCGGAAATCGTCCCTTAAGGGGGTGAAAATGGGGATGAAAGTTTGTATTAGGAAGCAAGCTAGGGACGAACCCGAGCGAAGCAAGCATGAGTCCCAAGTATTAAGTAAAATTAAAGTTTTTAAATTCGTACCGCAAAAATTTCAGCAGAATCATCTCAGAGATAATATTGAACGTAACATGTGTCCTTAAAGGACCACAAAAAGATACAATGTCAGCACTCATACACTTCCAAACATTAGCATACTATAGAAAGGGTATTTTATATATAACTCCGTTTAAAATAACAATAAATTTAGTGAGGATTTTACATAAATTGACATGCAAATCGACTTAGTTAGAAATAATTCGCGTTCGTTTTATCACTTTGTCGAAACAGTTCTGTATAATTCTCATTAAATTTATTTTTTTTAAAACGCATTAGATAGATAGATAGATATATTTGACTAAATCTGAAATAGTAATGAGATGACAATATAATTCCCAAGTTATTATTTATTTATTTATTTATTAATCCTTTATTACACCAAAAATAAAAATACAATATAAATGAATATATAACTTTACAAATATTAGTGTAAAGGCGGCCTTATCACTAAAGTGATCTCTTCCAGGCAACCTATATTATAAAGAAACTCATAGAATATTATAATTATAGGCAGTTAATAATATAAAAAAATGTTCCACTCTTATAATCGAGACTTAAAACGAAATAAAAAATACTCCTCACTCCTAAAAAGTGTAAAACTGACGATTCAAAATTACTTGTAAAAGTCTATTTGAATAGAGTATATTTTGATTGATTGATTTATTGGTCGTATAATTTGTCGTTGAAGATGTCGGAAAAAATCATGCGGATTGGAACCTTTATTGGCGTGCGCCGCGTCAACCAATAAAGTTATATGAAAACAATATATTACTAGCAGAACCCCGACTCCGCTCGCGCTCAACGAAACTCTAAAAAGTTAGGTTTTATACAAACTTTCATCCCCTATTATACCTCTTTATGGGATGAATTTTGAAAAATGCTTAAACACGTATTTATTTAATTGTATTGAAGAACATTACTAGTAATAAATACCAAGTTTCAAGTGATTCTGATTATAAATATTTTTTTGGGTTATATTATAACGTGTTTTCCCATGGGAATGAGATAATCTCCCGTGGTAAAAAGTAGCCTATATCACTTTCCAACCTTCCAACTATCTCCACACAAAAAAACTACGCCAATCTGTCACACCATTTCGACGTGAAAGAAGGACAAACAAACAAACACACTTTCACGTTTATAATATTAGTGCCTATGAATGTACTTATATAAAATCTTCTTTGAAAAATCTATTAAAAAACTGTAGCAACGTTATCAGATTATTTAAACAGTAACCCAATACTGTGATAAAATATATTAAGAAATTGTACAATCTATCCAAGAAGTAAAATTTTCTACGGGTATATTACATTAGTTAAAATAAACTTAATCTAAACGTAAAAGTTAAAAAAAACAATGACCACTGATCATAAGTACAGTGGTATAGGAACCTATCTTAAATTGAAAAAGAAAAAATAAATGTTCATGAAATTACTTGTTTCATAAGAAAATTTTAGACGTTGGTAGTTGTGTACAAATTGCCTTTTTTGTTGGTATTAATCACTATGATAAATCTAAAGACAATGATACAGTCCAGTAGAAAGATTAAACGTAGTTATCATTTATTTATTATATTCATGCGTGAGTTAAGTTATCGGGACGGTGGGTTGTAATGAAACAACGTTTCTCGTCGAAAGGCTAGTTAGAACTAACTTTATTTTTTTATTTTTTTCCGTTATATATGATACAAAAGTGCGGGAGTGTAGTTAGTGTGTGTGGGTTCTCAGCCTAAAAAAAGGACACTTCGGCCCTTTAAACTATTTGTGCTTAATTGCTTGCCATTTGTAACAACTCAATTATCTTACATGTGCATTGTTTATAATAACAGATCCTTTTGAGAAGGATCTCTAAAAATACGATACATTCAATAGTAAAAGATCCTTCCGAGTATCAAAATAGCCCACGTGTTGGGTTACATAGCTCATGCAAGTAAACTAAGTAGGATAAAACTTTACTTTGAGATAAACTATTTAAGATAGATAATTTTAGTATTACATCTATTTTATGATATAGATATATTCTGACAATAAAGATAAAAATTAACTTTTAGTGTTACCTTTCTTCTGAATTTATCAGTTGATAGCACTGCCTAAAAACATTGAAGATAAAGGAAACTTCAAGCGGACAAAGTCGCGGGCAGATCGTAGTAAAAGTATAAAGAATCATACTACCTGTACTTATGTATATATATATATATATATATATATATATATATATATATGTGTGTATGTATGTATATGTATGCATGTATGTATCATAATAAATACTATAATGGCTATTGGCTACTAGTATCGCTAAGCTACTGCATAATGCCTGTAATAACAAACTCGATCGTTGGTTAACTTGCATTCTAACATTACTTTAGATGATATAATATATCTATATCGTATTAATTCTCGACTTAACTTATTTAAAAATATAAATAGATAATTTAATAATATCATAATATAGTAATTAAATAATATAAATATATAATAAATTAAATGCCAAGTAACTAAAGTTAGTAACCCCGCAGTGTTCTAAGTAGTCTCATTGCACTGGCAGAAATTCCCGTCGGTTCGCGTGTGCTACTTGAAAGGTGCGTGTAGCATTTTAAACATTTGTAATTACATTTATATAAGTCTGCATTAGTGCTTTAGTGATTAGAAATAAAATGAAAGCCTACTAACATATTATTTCTTTCCAATGATAATTTAGGTACATATTATTCATATAAAAATTGCAGTTATATGACATAGTAGTTTATTTTTATTGAGAGAACTGAAATAATATTACCTACAAATAATTTGGTTGGATATACACATTTATATTAAGGCCCAGTGGTAACGCGCTCACTTTGGAAACCGAGTGTAACGGGTTCAAATATCGGGTCTGGCACCTCTGACATTTTCATGTGCGAATCTAACATGATTACCACTTGTCTTAACGGTGAAGGAAAATATCGCGAGGAAACCTGCATGTCTGAGAAAAACAAGTTTTCGAAAGACATCTGAAGTCCGCCAACCCGCATTTGGCCAGCCTGATGGACTATGGCCTGATCCCCCTCGTATTAAAGGGAGGCCCGTGCCCAGCAGTGGGACGTTAAAAAGGGCTGAATACACACATACATATATTAGCATACAGAATTAATATTATTTAAATTACATAATTTTTTTATTCTCAGTCACCTGTCCTGATTGAATAAAAATTCATAATTCAATTTTAACACGTTCTTGTAGGCAAACAATGCGAAGACGTAGCATTTACCCTGCAATTTGTTACTTATACCTATCTATAATAAAACATTTAATATAGAGCAAAATTAAAGACTGAAATTCTAAGGTTCTTATTTTCATAGGTTCCACAGTTAACTTAATTTTTGTGCGTCTTAAATTTCAACGTGTTAAGCAAAATGGCCAGGATGAAGTTAAATGTCAAAATTAAATGTAACATGATTATTAATACCTCCACGACCGCGGACACGCCGGCGTTACAGTTAACAATAGATTTCTTAGAAATTAAATTAATTTCTTAGAAATTTACCTGGAGGTGTTAAAGTTCAATCACTGAGCTTTTAGGCACTATGGAACTATTTTATTTAATATTTTATGGGGCTCAAACGTCATAAAAATCCGGTTATCGATGAAAATCTTGATATAATGTAGCGCGCTAAATAGTCGATCAAGAAATTCACCTTCTGTAATTTTACCATTTCCATGGTTATGTGCATATGTGTATTTATATAACCTGTATGATTACATAAGAATTAGTGTATTAAAAGACTTCATAAATCAAATCAACGCCATTTTTATTTTAAATTATTACATTCAACGCTTAATAATAAAATAACAGCAACGAATTTATAACATGCGAGGAACAGATGTTATTAATATATATATATATATATATATATATATATATATATAT